GGCGGATTCCTCTTGACCATCTGTCGATTGGCTTTACTGGAACATTCATGGTGACGCTGTTTCCGAGATAATCTCCTTCGATTCCGGTAAAAAGGTACTAAGCTTTCGTCTGTCATATGACGAACATCATCAGAGCAAAATATCATCATTACAACCAAATTCAAGCTAACGAGTTAAAAAAACTCAGCGGCAAATCCTTAAAAAGTGGTATATATAATCTATACGGGCATCTTTGATCAGGTATAGTGATTTCGTTAGTTACGATCACATGTCAACCTCGAAGTCTGTGAGTGTGTCTGTTTCTGAATGCCAGAAGAAAGTTGATAAGAATTCATGCTATACGTACGTAGTATATGCGAAGAAAAGTTGGGTTTCGAGGAATCTCTTGTTTCATAATTATTGACCTTACTTCTATTTTGAATTTCTTCTCCAAGCATAGAGAATGTATACTGCTCTTTAAGGATTTGCCGGTAAGTATTCTTAACTCGTTAGCTTGAATTTCGTTGAGACGATAATACCTTGCCCTGATGATGTTCGTCATATGACGGACGAAAGTTTAGCACCTCTTAACTGGAATCGAAGGTGATTACCTCGGAAACAATGTCACCATGAACGTTCCAGTAAAGCCAATCGACAGCTGGTCAAGAGGAATCCGCTGTCGTCTCTGGTTGAATCATCCTTCGAATCTCTTTATTAAACACGTTCACTCGAAATGGAAGTAAGCTCAATAATTAATTCTTACACAACCTTCTACCCCCATTCCACACATTCAACGTATTTCCTAATCTGTTAATTTAGACAGCCCCACTTATCTTGCGTTCTGTGGCAAACATACTATAATCATCAAACCTCCGAATTCTATCTCATGTCCAGTCCCCGGCCTGTGCTCAGCCACTTGTGTCTGCTCGACCAAGTTGCCTTTACAAGCAAGTTACTACATTTTTGTAATCACAACGTAAGGTCTGAGAAGCAGACATGATCGGAAAAGCAAATGCTTCGAAGCCGCTTAGGCTCTCCACTGTCCGTCGGCAAAACGTTTGAGAATGTATCAAGTCCACTGTCAGATGCTGGGAATCCAGACAACTACTATGGCAGACGACTTCGGACTCGGTGTGTTCTACATAGTTTCCCTGAACACAAGACCAAGTTGCGAAAACGAGGTCGACCCACTTCTCATTTGTTTTCCTTTCATTTTTAAGTAAGCGTGACCAAGTCCACAAATCCATATGAAAAACGGTATATCATTAATATAATGATAAGTACGATGAACGTTACAGCCAATTTACTAGTAGTAACAATTCTAGACTAGTGGATTTTTCGAGCTCCATAGGCTCGCGAGGAACTGTGCATAATGGCCTGATGAAAATTGAAGCCTTAGGAAGAATAATAATAGAAAACAAATTAACTGAAAATTCTAGGATTTTTTTAAACGAAACGTCTGCTATGAAATGGAAGCTGAGCGAATAGAAGTAACGCGAATTTCATATATAATCCCAAATTTAATATTTGGGAATTTTCGAAGATTGTTCTCTAAATTTTCACATGTAAGTAGTAATGGTTCTTTCCGTTTATAAGTAAGGTTTAAAGACTACCATCAAATCAGATATATGACGTTTTTACCCTATTTCGTTTAAAGTGATGAAGAACTGGTAACTGAATTTTCTCATAATTATATGAATATACCGCTGAAGGTGTTGATATAGACCTGGGCGAGGACAAAACTGCAGTCCACCCTGGATGAGAATACCTTTTAGGAGGTAAGGCTATGTGAAATTCAATGGAAAAGTAAGGTCTACTCATATTATTATGAAAAAAATTCAACCACCGGTCCTTCATCATCTTAAATGAAATAGGGTGAACACATCCCAGAGTAATGATTCTTAACTGATCCAAGCGTACGAAGGGACAGACCTGAGCAGATAAGTGATCCTGGTTGGCCGGTAACTTTGAAAGTGTCCGGTCAAAATGAGGTTGATAAACTGAATGTCGATGAAGATTCCGACTCGATTTGTGTTGGACTCGAGGTAGTTGTTTCTGTGTCAAGTCCTGTCCAGGATAGTTATGCAAATACACCGTCTCCCTTGGTTTACCACTTTTTTGCCCCTTTAAAGAAGAGCCAGTGACTTTCACTTCTGCATCAGACGTTTGGGACATGGCCTCAGTTAAGCAGGGCCGATCCGTAAGCTCGGAACCTAAATACTCGGAGGGGACAGGTAGTTGGAAAGCGGAGGTGGGGCTACGTTTCAGCGAGATGAGGGAAACGGGAGAAGCATAAGAGGTAGATGGGGTAGAAAGAAGCTCGGTGTTCATAGAGGAACCAAGGGAGTCAGTAGATCCGCACGGGCAGTTGGTCTGTGAGACTATCCCTACATCACTACCAGAGAAGCTGAGCGATGGACCAGTCCAGTTTTCGGGCCGCATGACGAACCTTGAACCAGAATGAATGCATAGCGTGGAGCCGGGCTCAAGCTCCAGTGCCCGCGTCTGCAAGCCTTGTGTTCCATAGGGAGCAGTGTCATTAAGGGATGAGGAACCTGGCTCACCAGCAAGTGTGGTGGCCCGGGGACGGAAGCGTCGCGGCCGGTTCTGGGGCCGATAACGATTGCCCTGATGACTATGCGGCAAAAGCTGAAATTTAACATTATCGGTTTTTAAATAAATTTGTGAGCTTAGCAGTTATTTTTAGTCTAAAGTTGCTTATACTTGATTTGTTTGAAATGAGGTGAGCCTACATGTGCTGAGAAACCTGAGTCCTTGATCTAAAATCAATGGGTTTGGGGATCAAAATAAGATAACTATCTGCCTGTTTACATCAATGAAGCCCAATCAGAAGCCAGCTGGACGTGAGGATGTTACTTGATGAAAATCTAGATTTAAAAAAAGTCATAGCTGAATACGCCTTAGAGACAGTCGGTTAATCACATAACCTGATACGGTGCAATCAAGTAGTAGATGAAAAGGAACATTAAGAACCTCATCTTAAGGGTCTTTAATAAAATTGGCGGAAAACTTTTGTTGCCTTACGATCGACCTTGATTTACGAACAAAAAACCTATTCAAACAATTATATTGCTAGCTAACTTTTTAAATAGTGCGAAGGTGATTGCATATTAATTATTGTAAGAAACATTATCGGGCAAATTGATGAATAGACTCATGTGGCTTGTGTTGAAAGCTGAATTTCAAAAGAATATGCAAAAATTAAAGATACTGCTTCGGACGAGAGAAAGGCTCGTTGGAACGCTCGCAAAATGTGAGGCCAAGCACTAAATTCTTTTAGGCCAAAAATAAAAAAGTTACAAGTAAAATAGTGACTTTATCTATAAAACCCGTTAATTACCACCAATAAACATTCATGAAGCGTAAGCAATAAACAGAAATCATCTAATATAATGACCCAAAATAATTTAGATGATTGCATAAAAAGTAGTCAACAAATCAACAATAAAATAGGTGTAAATGTATTTTCAGAACAAAGGGTTAATATCGTAAATGACAGCCAAAAATCATATGAGGCATTTCCTTTGACGAAATGTGCTTGTAATACATAAGAAAAACAGAGAACCGTATATTTTCGTTGAACTCGTTTCCAAATATGTGATGAAAAGACTCGAAGGTCGATCCAACAAGACGGTGGCCAGCTGTCAGTTGACTTTACCGTTACATTCTTGCTAATGCCGTACTCAATTCAGGTTAAAACGTGCTAGACTTTCGTATGTCATATGGCGAAAATCATCAGAACAGGGCATCATTCTTACATATGTATAAAAAGCTGGATTCAAAGAATTTCTTAATATATTGATATTGGCTTACATTTGATTGCTCTTGAAGTAGCGAGTGGAAGGAATTCGTAAACTGGCCTCACTTGAAGCCGAAGAAGAATTGTCTTGGAGCTATGAACGTAGATTTGTGCGAATTTGTCCTCAGTGCACCATCCCGCGACTCAGATGAATCTGTGCTGAGCTTTCGTTCGTCATGTGATGGACATAATCAAACTTTTACGATAATTCGCCAGGCACGAAGACAAGGTGGGCTCTACAGTCTTACCTGTTTCTTATAGCTTATCTTTGCTCATTTATTGAGACATCCCGTGAATTAACTGGCTAAATGCTTACCAAATATCAACAAATATCCATACATGAGCCATGGTCAAAACAGCCATATGTAATAGTTTCAAGCTCATTGGAATGAAGGTTTGCATATGCTTATAGTAGTTCATATAATATGTAAGGAAATGCATACGACTAATCAACGGATAGTTACAAAATATTTGTTCTGTTATAATGAAGAGAAGCCGAACAATGGTGAGAGTATAACTTACTGGAACAAGACTCGTTGGAAGAGCGGGGAGTTCCTCGTAGTACTGTTGTTCATCAGGTAATCCCTGACGATGAGAATCAGTCTGAAATTCTGTAGACTTGGAACCAGTAGTTTCATCCTCGGAAAGCCGAGGAGGTCCATCTGCTTGGTTGTTTATAAGTCTCTTCGATGAAGCCTGATGATAAGGCATCCCTGCCTCTGACGCTACATCGTCCTGGTTACCTAAGCATTGTTTATTTACTCGTTTTTGTGACTGAGGTTGCAGAGTTAGCTTGTGATGAAGGTGGTGACGGTTGTGCATTTCTTTTTGTTGCTGGTGCTGACAGCCGCCGTGTGAAGCCTGACCATCCCCAAAATGATTATACAAGGTGTCTGTAGCAAGGTGCCAAGATGAGCCTAATGAAGAACGGCCAGACTAAAATAAACAAAAAGGCAAAGGGGGATATTTGAAGTGGAAAAGGTAACGGAAGTAGACTTACACTATAGTCTTAAATTGTGCGATTCTGAGTCGCCTTTAAAAGAGAATGAGTGACAGAATGACATAGTTGGGAGTTCGTACCAGAGAAAGTTGAGCTAAATGCAAGCCTCCCCTTGTACGCGGCAAAGACGTTTACAAGGACAAAATGTGGGACCAGTGTTAATAAAAGGGCGTCACTAACAGCTAAAGCTTAATGTCCAGCATGCTAACATACGCACAAACTTCCTCTAGGATAATCACACCAAACCTTTATTAGTCGTGTAATAAACATGTCTAAAATAAAAAGTGAAAAACAACTTTGGAATGCTGCTGTGTCCAGGTGCCGTAGTTCGATACCATTAAATTTCCCACCTTAGTGGATGTGATTACATTCATCCTCAAATATTTGTAGTTAAATTATAACGAGAAGTTTGGGGTGTGTTTAACTCTTGAGAAAAACGAGGAGCTGAATACCAATATAAAAAGGCGATAATGTTAGGAAGGAGTCTGAATACTGAGAGAGGCTACTGAAGTTCTGAGTTATTCGATTGAGATGAATTGCTTTAGCAAGGATCCTGTTTCGGCAAATAGCTGTATTGGCTAAAGTTGTAAGCAGATAATTCTCACCTCATCAAAAATAGCGTAAGCATAAAAAGAAGTTGCGACTTGCGGCATTCGTGTTGGATTAATGACAGTGAAGAAAAGGAATATAAAATGAATAGGTAAACCGGGGATGTATAATGCAGTATAAGACGAAAGACTGAGAGAAATAAATCAAAGCTAAAACAAATAGGTTTTTAGAACTATATATTATGTATACAAGCAACAAAATTGTATTTTTATAACTCAAGTTTATTCAATGGTTGTTTGGTCTTGTTTTCGCAACTTAGTTATATTGGCAGGAAGACCTAGAGGAACATCTTGGTCTTCGAATCTACGTTAAAACTATAAAGTGTGTCTAGTCCAAAAAGATGCTCAAGTATACCAGAAACTCCCTCCTGATCTGTCGTCT